AAGCCGGGGCTGAGGAAACTGCAGTCTGTATGGTGGTAACGAGCTTGCCTTGCTGGCCTGAGTTCAATCCCCAGCACCCAGGTAGCAAAGAGCCTGTGTTGGTAATCCCAGTGCGGGGAGGGGTGCATGGACAGATATCCGGGACATCTGCCAACCATTCCAGAGGTGGAGACAGGTAGATACTGGGACTGCCTGGCCAGTCAGCTTAGCCTACCTGTGAGTTCCATGCCAGCAAGGGACTCCATGTCCAGAAACCAAGGTGGACTGTGCGTGGGAATTAATGACACCCAAGGCTGATTTTTGACGTCCACAGGTGTGTGTGTGTGTCACACACACATGTCCACTCATGCACAACACTAAAAAGTTAAAATAATCATGATCCAACAAAATGCTACTTACAAGACATATTTCCAACACAGCACTGCAAGGGGAAAAGCGATGGATGTGACCACATGAACGTCAGGGAACGCAGAGCCAAGTCTATTGGAAACAAGGAAGTGAACGGCACACCGGGAAGCATCCCCTGCCAGGATGATGTCTCAACCTAAATCCTTGTGCCCCAAACAACGGGGGCTTCAAAGCCTGAAGGTACATGAAGCTAATGCCTGATGTGCATGGAAGGAAGCAGGCCACCTACAATTACAACTAGGGATTTGGGCCTCCCCCTCCTGGTAGCAGGAAGGAAATCAACAAAGGTATAGAAGGGAAGAACCCCCAAACCAGCTAATACAACCTGGCTGACACACACACCGTTTTCACAGAATAGACAGTATTTCCAATGGCTCAACAAGATAAATTATGCACTAGACAATAGAGCAAGCTGTACAATATTTAAAAGAAACCAGTAACAGAAAGCCAGTAAGGAAATCTGGGAGCTGGGGAGACAGCTCAGTGAGTGCCTGATGTGCAGGCATAAGGGCCTGCTGGCTGGCATGAAAGCAGGGTTCAGAGCACATGTAACCCTAGCTGATCCCTGGAGCCACTGGCTTTCTGGCACAGCCAACTCGATGAAGTCCAGGTTCACCAAGAGATCCTGTCTCCCAAAATAGTGGAGAACAACTGAGAAAAATACTGGCTGTCAGCTGCCAGCCTTCATGTACACACGTGCATGTGCAACCCTCCCACATGTCCACCTTCCCACATCAGTATGTACATATATCACATACATCACAGACAGACAGACAGAATATTTCCAAATGCTTGAAGATTAAACAGTTTTCATATGGAGAAAAATAGCAAAGAAACTGAAAATATAAATACACCTGAATTAATGTAAGATGGGCCAATCTGTCAAAGCAGCCAAGTCGCTGCTGACGGGGAGCGGTGTACAGTACTAGATGCCTATACGAGAGGAGAGAAACGGTCTCCATCAACAGCATAAATCCTTACAACAAGGAACTGCAAGGCTGGGCATGCTGGCTCACACCTGTTATCCTAGCACTCAGAAGACCAATGGGCAGGGGGAGCCACACAGAGTAACCAGGCCAGTCTCAGACCCTGCCTCATAAAAATATGGATGGATGGAGGGATGGGAGGGAAGGAGGAAGGAAGAGAAGAGGGGGAAGGGAGTCAACCCAAAGCAGACAAGAGAAAAAAATGTCAAAAGCATAAAAAGAATAGAGAAAATCAACTAAACTTAATGTGGTATTCATGGAGAAATTAAATTAGGAGAGAAATAAAAAACCAAAGTAAAAAAACCTAGAAGAAACAAAGAAAGATACTTTGAAGTATGCCGAAGGTTAAAAAGATGATGTCCCCAGAAGATGAGCACTATGAGAAATGCTCAGAGCCCTTCTGAGCAAAGGAAAACACAAGCCCACAATTTTTATTAAGAACATCTCTGGAATAGTAGTGGATCGTGAGTTTCATAATGGACATAACAGAAAACCTGTGACAGCCACACGCAGGAGATGCTTGGGGATGCCGTAGGTTCTTACGCAGTGTGTGAGGAGTCCGAATAGCATCTGAGGGTAGGTTGTGATAAGTTACAGATGCATGCTGGGACCCTAAAGAAAGTGCTAAAATCACAACGAAGTATAGCAAATAATCTAGCCAACGCTCTAAAACAAATCGAAAGAGGTACTGAATTTCAGAAGAGGGGAGCAGACAAATGGAGCAGAAACAGCCAGCAAGAAGATGGATTTAAATGTTATATCAGTATTGTCATTACTGTAAACAGACCATATCCCAACTGCGTGTTAGTGACTGGCAAGCTGGATAACAAGCAAGAGTCAAGTAGGAAGCTACCTACCAGATGCCATTTAAAAAAAAAAAAAAGAGTTACAAAATTAATTACCATAGTTTCCAATTGTATAGATGCAAGTCTTTCCTCAGTCTTTATTGTAGAATAATTTTATTGCTGGATATACTCAGGATATGATCATAAAAACAAGCTACAAATCAATGTAACTTCTACTTTTGCCCACAATTTAGGCCTGGGATCTCTCTCTCAATTTAGGCCTGGGGTCTCTCTCTCTCTCAATTTAGGCCTGGGATCTCTCTCTCTCTCTCTCTCTCTCTCAATTTAGGCCTGGGATCGCTCTCTCTCTCAATTTAGGCCTGGGATCTCTCTCTCAATTTAGGCCTGGGATCGATCTCCTCATCCCCCTGGTGTGGACAAAGCACTGTCCATTTTGTTCTAGCAATAGTTTTTTTCGTGTTATGTCACATTAAGGAAGTGTGAGCACAAAGGATGTTTGTTTTTAACACCAGCAATGAAGACTCTTTGGTGACACAGACGAGCCAGTGCACCAAGAGGATACAATAATTTCAGACTCTGGCCCTGACGGCAGCACTCTAGACTACACAGCGAATGGTTACCAGTTCAAGAAGAAATATGGAAATCCAGAATTACAGCTTAGAGTTTTGGTTTTTTGTTTTTGTTTTTTTTTTTCTGAGACAAGGTTTTCTCTGTGTAATTTTGGTACTTGTCCTGGATCTCACTCTGTAGATCAGGCTGGCCTCACAGAGAATCTGCCTGCCTCTGCCTCCTGAGTGCTGGGATTAAAGGCGTGCGCCACCACCGCCTCTGGCTACAGTTAAGAGATTTAATACTCCTCCCGCAGTAATCAATAAAGTAGACAAACAACACAGAAAGATTTTAACAAAATGTCAATCACCTTGATCTGATTGACATTTATAGAGCATCCACTTAATACACACATAACACATTCTTATCAAGTGCATGTGAAGCTTATTTTTCTTTTAAACCAAGACACAGCATATTCCAGGCCATAAACCTAGTGCCAACCAATTTAATGGAACTTTGGTCACATAAGTATGTTCTCTGCTGAGTAGAATTATCGAAAGGGTATTGAGAAGCATTCTGCAATGAGTAGATATGAAAACACATACACTAACTCCATGGGATGCTGTTTCAACAACCAAGGACAGTGTATGGCACACACAGAATAAGGGCCCTCAAGTCAAGGGATTCAGCTGCCACGTTTAAACTAGGAAACAAAACTGAACACAAATGAAGGAAAAGGGGAAACTAGGGTCAGAGCAGAAAACAAGAAAACAAAAACACCACCAAGAAAAAAACAATGAAACCAGTATGTGATTCTTCAAGGTTTTAAAAAATTGATGACGTTCCAGTTACAGCACTTGGGAAAACGGAGAAGCCACGAGTTACTGATGTCGGAGTTGAGGCAGGTGACATCAATGTTGTTTTTATAGATACACAGAAGGGAATGTCACTGAGCTAGTAAACACTCCTTGAAAGACACAAGCTACATCATTTACTCAAAAAGAAACATAATTAGAACAGCTATGTATCTACCAAAAAAAAAAAAAAGAAAGAAACCAAAACTGGAATATAACTAATCATTCCTTAAAGAAAATCCCCAGCCCAAATGGCTTCACAGACCTTATTCTATACAACACATAAGGAAAAAAAACCACTAACTTCATGTGAACTCCAGGAGAGGAAGAGAGGGGGAGAGAGAGACAGAGACAGAGACAGAGAGAGGACGAGACAGAGAGAGAGACAGAGGAGAGAGAGAGGAGAGAGAGGAGAGAGGAGAGAGAGAGGAGAGAGAGAGGAGAGAGAGAGAGAGAGAGAGAATGAATGAATGTGTGTGAAGTACTTCTCTATTAGGTTTAGCTTTACCCTGAAGAAAAAAATAATAACTCTCATGAATATAAATGCAAAAATTCTAAACAAAATGTTAACAAGTGTAACACATGCATATCCTAAGTGGCAATACTTCACAACAAAGCAGAGTTTACCTTGGAAACACATAACATGTAAGGGTCAACCACACACTTCACAACAAACTAAGAATGTAAATGTGGGGCTGGTGAGATGACTCAGTGGTTTAGAGAACCTGTTGCTCTTGTACAGGACAAGGGTTCGGTTCCCAGCAGCCACATGGTGACTCAAACATCCACGACTCTAGTTCCAAGGGATCAGACACCATCTTCCGACCCCTTCATATAGTGCACATACATACATGCAGGCAAAA